ACACACACTCATTCACACACACACACACACACACACACACACACACACACACACACACACTCACTCACTCATATACACACACACACACACACTCACTCACTCACTCATATACACACACACACGCTCTAACACACAACATTATAAACATGACTGATCCAGCTCTGAGATGTGTAGCCAGAAAGTGCTTCGTAATTTTGTAATCGTCTCTATAAAATGTCTTTTGATTACACTTTCTTTTACAGTGTTCTTGTTACAATTGTACATTTTGAAGTAAATGTAATTAACAGCATGTACTTACTGTAAACTTGGGGTTCAGTTTAGGGTTAGTTGCTTGTAATAATACGTAATTTACTATTATAACAGCAGTGAGTGCATGTGATGTGTAAGAAGGACACTGTAAGAGAAAGTGTGAGTGAGCGCTCTGGCGTCTGGTTGTGAATGTGTTGATCAGGTGATCTCCGCTCGGGCTTCTGGGACGGTGATTCCTCCTCCGCTGGTGCGCGGCGCTCAGCTGTCCAAACACGGCTTGGCCGGAGCTCAGATCATCCTGCCGCCGCTGGTCCGAGGAGCTCAGGTGCGTCACACAGCTGCTGTGCGTCTCGTTACCGTCTGAACACACAGTGACGCTTCTCTCTTGCGCTGCAGTCGATCTCGGTGTCGCCGCAGCAGATCTCCGTCCTGAGACAGCAGCAGAACTCCTCAGGGCCTCCTCCGCTGCTCCTCGCTCCCAGAGCCACGCTGAGCAGCGTCTCGGGACAGAAGATCAACCAGCCCGGCCTCATACGCATGACCTCCATCTCCAGCACAGGCCTGCTTCTCAGCATCAGCCAGGTGTGTGACGCTTCTCCATCAGTCTGGTTAAATCAGGTGTTTAATACTGAATACAGATCATCAGGAAGTCAGTGTTTTTAAACTGCTTCAGAATAAGAACTTGATCTGACTTTAATCATGAGTGTTACACACAATCCTAAATCTCAGTCTTAAAATGTCTCAATCCGATTTAAATGTGAGCCTGCAGCACAAAAGCAGTGTTAAGTCGCTGGGGTATATTTGTAGCAATAGCCAACAATACATTGTATGGGTCAAAATTATACATTTCTCTTTTATGCCAAAAATCATTAGGATATTAAGTAAAGATCATGTTCCATGAAGATATTTTGTAAATTTCCTACCGTAAATATATCAAAACTTAATTTTTGATTAGTAATATGCATTGCTAAGAACTTAATTTGGACAACTTTAAAGATGATTTTCTCAATATTTAGATTTTTTTGCACCCTCAGATTCCAGATTTTCAAATAGTTGTATCTCAGCCAAATATTGTCCTATCCTAACAAACCATACATCAATGGAGAGATTATTTATTGAGCTTTTTCAAAAAATTGACCCTTATGACTGGTTTTGTGCTCCAGGGTCACAAATGTGTTAAATTTGGAGCTGGAAAACAGGAATCTTACAGTAAAAACGCAGGAAATCAGTGAATATCACACGGTCATGCCAAGCAGTTGCTAATGAGCTACTGTTGATGAATTATGACCGTATTTAATTTATGGTGTTTATACTGTAATATTGTAACATTCGACTGCTTTAGTAAAAGATCTGAGATTCAGGATTTATTTTGAGGTTTTATGGGTTTGTTCTATAGGTGCTTGTTTCTGCCACAGAATAAATAAATAAGGTCATTCTGACTTTTTCACTGAATTATGAGGTTATATCTCACAATTGTCCTTTTTTTTTCTGCCATGGATTAAAAAAAATAAAGGTAACCATGACTCTTTTTTTTTTTTCTTCACAATTGCGAGTTTATATCTTGCATTTCTGCATTTACGTCTCGCAATTCTGACTTTTTTTCTCAAAATTGCAAGTTTATATCTCGTGATTCTGGATATATGTAGGATTGCGAGGAAGAATAGTCTGAATTGTGAGATAAAAAGTGTTGTTTGTTTGTTTGTTTATTTTTGAGAGAAAGTGTTTTTTTTTAATACTGTGGCAGAAACTGGCTTCCATGCGGTTCATTTTATTTGTGCGGGTCTTAAAATCCTCAGAAACTCAGCATCATCTTGTAATTATGATAATTATAAATGTGGTTTACCAGGCGTTCCACATAATCCGTTGTGCAGCCGCAGAATCATCGTCATCATTACAGCATTATAATAATGCTAATATAATGCTAGCTCGCTGACTCTGTCCTGCAGGCCGCCGGCTCAAAGCTGAAGAGCGGCTCGAATGTGAGTCCGTCTCCAGACAGCCGTCAGGCGGCTAAACTAGCGCTGCGCAAACAGCTGGAGAAGACGCTGCTGGAGATCCCTCCGCCCAAACCGCCCTCGCCGCAGCTCACCTTCGTGCCGTCAGCGGCCAGTAACCAGTTCATCTACCTGCTGGGGCTGGAGGAGGTGGTGCAAAACCTGCTGCAGTCTCTGGGCCGAGGTGCGGATCAGTCAAACATAGCGCTTTATACACGGAGCTTTACACCGCCGCCAAATATAGCAGCCATAGCAGTCATGAATAGGAAGAGAAACGGTGTTCTTCAATTAGACAACAACGAGTTCAGCACTAAACCTTCCATTCTGACTCTAAACGTTACAGGAGACAGTGTAGTGTGATTATTCAGCTCAGTTATTGTGTGTCAAATACTGCTTTAATCGCTATGATAAACAGATAAAAGTGTGGCCACACGCTGCTGCTGCTCTCACACTGACAGAAAAATATAAAATATATCTGCATGTGTGTTTGTTATTTTTATTATCATATTATTTTAGCATATTGCAAATTTATATAATTTTTTTATATTATTATCTATTTTATTATATTGCAATATTATAGTATTTTATATCATTATTATGAAATTGAAATATTTTTATATTATTTAGATATTTTTATCATATAGCAATATTATCATTATTATATTATTTTTATATTATTAAACTAGCTAGGTTTACTTTGTTTTTATTTCAATTATTCTTTTATTTTCAAAAATTAGAAATGTTGCTTTGGTAGCTAACTGAAATAAGTTTTTATTCATATTTTGAATTTAATTTGAATTAGCTTTTATTTTTATATTTTCACTTTTCATATTAATTTTATTATTTTTATTTTTGTAATTTTGGTATGTGCTTTTGTCATTTTAATTAGTTTTAGAGGTTTCTTTTAATACTAGTATTAAGGATTAATTTATTTAATTGAATTTTTAGTTTTAATTTTTAGTTTTTATTTCTTTTTAGTAATTTTAGTGCTTCAACTTAAACTAAATAAAGATTGAAATAAATTTGAATCATCTAATATTTATATTTTATTTCATTTCAGCTTTGTTTCAGTTAACAGTGATGTTTTAATAGTTTTAGTTCATGATAGTTTGAAGACATTCTGATCTACATCAACTGGATTTGAGAGATCAGCCCGCTGTGCTTCTGATTCCTCACTAGATCACGCGTGTTTTCAGTGCTTTCGTCTGCTCATGAAGGAATCAGCCTCAGAGTTCATCACAATTTCATGTTAATAGTTACGTTACTAAACCCGGTTAAAGACAGACGTACTGTGAGATACGAGGTTGTTAATTGATGGTCTATGCTTTTGTTTAAGCCATCCGTTTACATTATTGCAACCTATTTTTTTTAATAATCATGTTTAACGGTGTTTCAAATCTCCCTATGCTTTCAAACTAGAATATTTGTATGCATAATATGCATGTTATGCAGTAAACTTAAAATATAGTTTCTATTGATATAATTAAGAACTTTAAATGAAGAATGATATATTTCTCCATTTTTAGTTTGTCATTTTAATGCATCATGGGATTGTAGTTCTTTCCCTCGCCAGTCCATAAGTTCAGTCTTCTTTGTCATTTGCCCGATTTTCAAATGCTTTTTTTTTTTGCTTCAAATCAAAGTTTGCATTGATGTGATTCACCTTATACCTCTTAAACAAAGACTTTTTTTTTTTAATTCCTATGAACAAAAACTAGACTGGCATTAATGTGCTCTATAGTTTAATCAGACACTTCAGTCATCGTTTACTTGCTCAGAATCATGTGACTCGCTTTCTTCAGTGAATTGTTGAGTTATCTTCATGCAGCTCAGTTTCTGAAGAAGCCGTCTGCGGTGGAGCGTCACAGAGAGTTTCTGCTGGACATGATCGCGTCTCGCTCCGTCTCACAGACCACAAACACCTGGAAGTAAAGCCGCTGGAGGTTCTGGATTCATCTGTGTGTGCTCCGGTCGGGTCGATCTGCCGCAGGATCTGAGCGCTTTCTGCAGGTTTCTTCACAAGGGCTTTGAGTCTTGTCTGATGCGGAGCGACTTCCTACAGAAAACATGACCGAGTGACTGCTCCACGCGCTCTGTGTGCTTCTGTTACGGCTTCTCTTCATTCAGGTTTCTTTGTGCAGTTATACACACGTGTGTGATTTCAGCTGAAGGATGTGTGTGTCACGCGTGCTTGACGAATCACGTTTGGCAGGTCTTCCACAAACATTTATTATTTCAGCTCATAGTTTCAGTCAAACTGACTTTCTTTGAACCATGTCTGAGTTTCGAGTCAGTTGAAGTTTCTTTTATTTGTCAGTATTTTCTTTTGCAGTCAGTATGATTATATTGTTTGTTTAAAATGTTTGTATTTCCATGTGGGCGATTCTCTAAATGTAAAACATTTGATTAAAAGAGTTTAAGTAATTGGTGTAGAAGATCATCAGTATGCTCAGATTATGATTTAATGAGCTGCTGACGATGGTGCAGAGCATTAGTGTTTATGATGATGATGATGATGAAGGCAGATTGGTTTGTTAAACTGCACATGAACAAACCTCATCACTGTTTATAAACAGATAATATTCATGTTTCTGGCCGTCGAACAGTTGAGGTCACTGATGCGCTTGTTTTTGTTTTGCGGTGATGATGATGATGATGATGATGATGATGATGTCACACCGTCGTGTTTCCATGGTTACCGCTGCCTGATGCCTCTCCTGTGGCATTTGCTTCCTGCAACATGTACAAAGTTACAGTTTGTTAGATTTATTTGTTCCTGTAATAAAACGTTTTTAACCCTTTCATCTGACTGCACCTCTTCATTCACTTCTATTGTGTTATATACATTTCATTTTAAATGTTGCGTATGTTTATTATACAGTACCGGTCAAAAGTTTGGACACATCACTATGTTTAATGTTCTACTGAGCAGAAAAGAAGTTAATTTCTACTCCGTCGAAACTGAAATGAAGTGTTATGTTAGAGCAGTAATGTAATCAGCAGCAGAAAAGTTAAGTATGCAAATGAGGCATTATCTAATCAGATATGCACTACTTTGTATACATTTCCAGAACAAATCTGAACATTGGTTCATAATTCTGGTCTGATTTTGTCCTTATATTCCAGAGGGGATTCTGGATTTCTCTTTTTATTGCTCCATAAATCAGAAAATACTGTCGACAGACACATTTTCACCATGTTTTTAGGAGTAAAATGTTGTATAAATCAGTGTGAATGAAATATGAACAAACCTTCAGAATACAGAGAGAAATAAAACTAAAGTTTGGTGTTTGTAAGAGAAAAAACTCTCTAAAGATTGAAATCTACAGACGCACATAGATAACGTGCAATAAAACAGACACTTGAATGTGTATTTTGTCAAAGGTCATTATGTCGCATAGAATCTTCGTAAAAGTACCAAAACCAGAGCAAATGTTCAGGATGGCATCGTGTGTCCGCGGTGTCTGTGTGGCGCAGTGCGTGCTGGCGGCCGCTGGAGGCGCTGGAGAGCAGCGCGGATCCGCTCTCACCGCAGCCGAGGAAGACGCGAGCGGAGCGGCGCTGGACGGAACGATGGCGGCGTCCAAGGTGAAGCAGGACATGCCTCCCACCGGAGGATACGGGCCCGTAGATTACCGGAGAAACCTGCCCAGACGAGGCCTGTCCGGTACGTGCGTCACGCGCTGATCAGTGCGGGGTTCAGGAATAACACGTATGTATTGCGTGAATATGGATTGGTTCACTGTTTGAAGAGATGGTTTAATGACAAATGCATGTTGCTAAACCAATATACAGTTGAACAAACCAATATATACTTGAACAAACCGATGTATCTAAACCAGTATAGTTGAAAAAACCAATATATGTCTGGTTATACCAGTGTATTAGAAGCCAATGCATTTGTCATTAAACTATACCTTCAACCAGTGAACCAATCCATATGTATTATTTCCTGAACGGCTTTCCACACACACACACACACACACACACACACACACACACACACACACTCTCACACACACACACACACAC